CTTCTGTTAATTCCTCTGGTGTGATGTCACTTAGCTCTTGAATTTCTCCAAGATCCATATCTTGAAACCCTTCACTCCCCATCTTTTTCTTCCCCCCCCCCCATATCCACAATCTCTTTCATGAATTCCTTGATTGGCTCTATTGTAAATCCTGTGAAGTCGTCATGTACAACACCTGGACACCATTTTCTCTAACAGGAATTTATTGTTTCGGGCTTGATGGCTTTCACTGCTTTTTCTTTATCAGTGATGGCATATTTAGTGATGTAATCCTTCTAGACTTTTATGATGTTCTCTCTATCAGGGTTCTCTTCCATAGCGTTGACAATCCTTTCCAAAGAGTATTGTGCATAATGATCCTTATGACCCCCTGATCTAAAGGCTGATTTAGAGATGTGTTTGGGGGCAAGTAGACCATTTTAACACTTCTGGTGTTGCATTTGTGGGGTTCTGCATGGCCAGGGACATTGTCCAATATCAAAAGAACTTTAAAGGGCAAGGTACTCCCTGGCTTCAGGGACAAAAAGCATCAATGGAACTAATCCAGAAAAAGGGTTCTTGTTGTCCAGGCCTTCTTGTTGTATAACCAAAAGACTGGCAGCTGGTGTTTATTTGTTCCCTTCAAGGCTCAGGGGCTAGCAACTTTATAGATAAGGGCAATCCTGATCATAAACCTGACTGCATTTGTGCAAAATGTTAGAGTTAGCCTATCCCTTCCTGTCTTTTTTTTTTTTTTTTAATTCCTTCCTGTCTTAAATCCTGGTGCTTGCTTCTCTTTCTTACTAATGAATGTTCTTTGTGGCATTTTTTTTTCCAGAAAAGGGCACTTTTGTCTGCATTAAAAACCTGTTCAGGTAGACATCCTTTCTCCTTCATGATTTTCTTAATGGCCTCTGGGAACTTGTCTGCTGCCTCTTGGTTGGCAGAAGCTGCTTCTGCTGTTATATTTATTTATTTATTTATTAAGATTTTATTTATTTATTTGACAGAGACATAGCGAGAGAGGGAACACAAGCAGGGGGAGTTGGAGAGGAAGAAGCAGACTCCCCACCGAGCAGGGAGCCCGATGTGGGGCTCGATGTGGGGCTCGATGCAGGGCTCAATCCCAGGACCCTGACCTGAGCTGTAAGCACATTCTTAACGACTGAGCCACGCAGGCGCCCCCTATCTTGACGTTTTTAAAGCCTCTTTCTAAAATTATCAAACTATCCTATGCTGTTTAAATTCTCCAGTTTTAGATCATTCACCTTCCTTTTGCTTTAAGTTGTCATATAATGACTTAGCTTTTTCTTGAATAATATTAGAGTCTATAGGTATCTTACAGCAATCCTGCCCCCACATAAAAGCTGCATTTTCAATACAGGATAAAAAGGTATTTCCTAAAAGGTGTAAGATTTTTGCACTTACTGGCATAGCTGCAGGGATGGTTTCACAAATTTCCATTAAAAAAACAAAACAAAACAAATGAACAACAACAACAAAAAAACCAATGGTTCTTAGGCTAGCGGGCAACTGCAGACTTCAGTCAAGCAATTCAACTTTTTCTTGTAATGTCATGACTTTGCTTCTTGGGAGCTTCCAGTATCACTGGTGGCACTTTGTATAGGTCCTCTGGTGTTATTCAAGGTTTATGGTAACACAAAAAATATGGAAAAACCATGGGAGATTACTTTTTACTGCAATATACAATTCACTGGAGAGATGAACACACTTGAGCTCATTGCAATAGCAACAGGAGATGGTTACAAAATTAGAGTAGCACAGTATGTACTACAGTAAGTTTTATGCAGTTGTGATTTAGTACTGTATCTTTACCTTTGTTTACATTTCTCTCAACTGCAAATGGGGCCATGTACAGTCTGTATGTGTTTGCATAAAATTTTGATACATTTTAACTTTTTATGATTTGTGTATATTTTATGGTAGTAAATGATAAAATAGACTAGTATATACATATATTTTATGCATTCATGATATATCTTTTTCTTAAGCTTTTCTATATTTCTAGGCTATGTGCTTTGTATGCAAGGGTTTTCAAACTGTTGCAGATCTCCAAGAAATTTTCTAACGTATTTATTGGAAAAAAAAATCTGTGTATAAGAGGACCCATGCATGCAGTTCAAACCCCTGTTGTTAAAGGGTCAACTGTATAGTCATCCTAGTGGGTGTGAAGTGGTATCTTTTTTGTTTGTTTGTTTGTTTGTTTGTTTGAAGTAGAGAGAGAGCACTCTAGCAAACAAGGGGAGAGGCAGGGGGTGGGGAGAGAATCCCAAGCAGACTCCATGCGGAGTGTGGAAAGCCACACGGGGCTCGATCCCATGACCCTGAGATCAAGGCCTGAGCTGAAACCAAGAGTCGGATGCTCAGCTGACTGAGCCACCCAGGCACCCCTGAAGTGTAGTATCTTACTGTGATTTTGATTTTCATTTCCTTGATGGCTGGTATTAACTTTTCATGTGCTTGTTGGCCATTTGTATATCTTCTTTGGAGAAATGTCTATTCAGATCCTGTGCCCATTTTTAATTCAGTTATTTGACTTTTTATTAAGTTATAAGACTTCTTTATGTATTCTAGATACAACTTTATCAGATATATGATTTACAAAGATTTTCTGCCATTCTGTGTGTTGTCTTTGCACTTTCTTGCTGATGTGATTTGAAGCACAAAAATTTCTAATGTTGATCAAATCCAGTTTATCTTTTTTTTTTTAGTTTGCGCTTTTGGTTCCTATCTAAGAAACCAGTGCCTAGTCCAAAGTTATGAAGATTCAAGCCTATTTTCTTTAAAAAGTTTTACAGTTTTGGGATGCCTGGGTGGTTCGGTTGGTTAAGCATCTGCCTTTTGCCCAGGGTCCTGGGATTGAGTCCTGCATTGGGCTCCTTGCTCCGGGAGGAGCCTGCTTCTCCCTCTGCCTGCCGCTTGCCCTGCTTGTACTCTCTCTCATTCTCTCTCTGCAAATAAATAAATAAAATCTTAAAAAAAAAAAAAAGGTTTACAGTTTTAGCTCTTACATTTAGGTTTTTGATCCATTTTGAGTTAATTCTTGCATATGGTATGATATGGGGATCTGACAGGTAACCATTTGTCCTAGCACCATTTATTAAAAAGACTATTCTTTTACCATTGAATTTTTTGACATCCTTGTTAAGGACATTTGACAGTAAAGAGTTTCTTTTTGAAGAACATATTCACATTTTTTCCCCTTCCCCCCATATTGTCTCTAACTTTTTTGTTAATTAAAGAAATGCAGAAACCATCTCAAACTTACAGAAAAGTTGCAGGTACAGTACAAATAACTTATTTTCTTGAACCATTGAGAGTAAGTTGCCAACATGATACCCCGCAATGATCATGTTTGTATGTATTTCCCACCAATAAGAACATTTTCCTACATAACTGTGATACAAAATCAGACAATTAGTGTTGATGCATTACAATACCAATCTTATCCTCAGCTTCCATTCAAGTTCCAATAATATCCTTTATAACACAGAGGATCCAGCCCAGAATCACACATTGCATTTGTCATGATTCTCTAGTCTTTTTCAATCTGGAACAGTTCCTCAGTCTTTCTTGATTTTCATGACCTTGACAATTTTGAAGATTACAGGCCAGTTTTTTTTTTTGTAGAATGTCTCTAAATTGTGATTTGTCTAGTGTTTCCTCATGATTAAATTCAGTTTATGCGTATTTGGCAAGAATATCCCAGAAGTGATATTAATGTCCTTCTCAGTGCATCCTAGCGGGGGCCCAAGATTTTATCATTACTGGTGGTTTTAACTTGATTGATTACTTGATTAAGGTAGTGTTTGCCAGGCTCAGGTCATGATCCCAGGGTCCTGTGATCGAGCCCCGCATTGGGCTTCCTGCTTGGCAGGAGGCCTGCTTCTCCCTCTCCCACTTCCCCTGCTTGTGTTCCTGCTCTCGCTATCTCTCTCTCTGTGTCAAATAAATAAATAAAACCTTCAAAAACAAACAAAAACCAAGATAACCAAGTTATGCATATTTATTGGGGGTGCTAGGACCTCTCAGGGGACAGAGCTAGGGAATAGTTTTATTCCCTATATGTATAGACATATCTTTCTATTAAATTTCTTTGTATTAAATTTCTATTAAAATTCATCTTTCTATAAAATTTCATGAGTTCATATCAATAGCTGTAATTCCAGTTCAAACCAGAGGGATTGTTTTGGGTTTTTTTGCCTTTCCATATTTGTAACTTCCTTTTTAGACTATGAGAAACCTGGTTCCTATTATTTTTAATAGTTGTACTTATTTGATCTATGTCTCTGTATGTACCCAATCTCTTATAGCCATTGCTGCATTCCCCCTGGTACCTCTCAGCCTCCCCTCCCCCAAGTAGAAGCTCTTCACCCTTATCTGGTTCTGTCCCATTGTACTGGTGGTATGCCGTCTTCTGAGGCCTGTGTCCTCATTGGCTCCGTCTCCACTACTCTGTGCCACCCAGGCCCTGTGCCACTGCCCTTCTTCCTTCATTCAGCTTTAACATCTCATGCCAGGCTGCACCGGTGAGGATCTCCTCCTCACCCTCCTGAAGCTCTGAGATCTTGTGCTCTGCTGCTGCCCTCCTATATGGACATACTCCTCCTTCACCTGCTTTGGGCTCTGACACCAACTCTTGGCCATCATGACCAGTCTCACTTAATGGCTTTTGGACTGAATTATTTGTGAAGGGGCGTCACATTGTCTTTTGAGAGACGACGAAGTTTTTTTTGGTTATTTGTTCAGAATTAAAAGTTAGCACTTTATAAGAAGGAAAAAAAACCCAAGTAGCTTGAAAATTTTACCTTTTAGGCAGTAATTGGTAGAGTTCTAGAAGGATTCCTTCTTTGGCTAACATTTAACATAAAATAACACTTTATTGAATTTATAATTATTTGAATCTTAATGTACATTGGTTAATGAGCTGTTCTTGAGTGAGGAAATTAGAAAACAAATAGTAATTTACATCTACAAAATAATATTCATTTTTCTTCTAGCTCTTCCACCAAAGCCACCTAAGCCAATGACTTCAGCCGTTACAAATGGAATGAAGGACAGTTCTGTTTCTCTTCAGGATGCAGAATGGTACTGGGGGGATATTTCAAGGTAACTAGAATGCTACTATAATTCAATGCAGTTTAGAAACAAATCATTTTTGAGAAGTGCCCTACTAGTTGTCATTTAAAGATAACCATTTTAAAAATTGTGAGAATGCTTCAAAAGTTTCTAAATGCTGTCCTTCCACAGGAAAATGACAAGAAAATCTTTAAATTACAGGTGTGATTATTACTTTTAATTCTGTATTAAGGATAGATTTCTGAATAAATGAAACAAAAGATTTAGGATAGCTACATGTGGTTTTCTATAAAAAGATAGTTATAGGTACTTCATTTTCTTTACCTTTCTGTGTCTAAGGCAATGGTTCCACAGTCTTTGCATGCACAAGAATCAACTGGGGTGTGGGCCAGGAATCTGCATTTAACCTCCCTAGGTGATTTTGATGCACTCTTCACATGCCTCATTTTGAGAAACGGGACTCTAGAGCAGTAGAATGCTTTTTAGGTAAAATGTCGTTTTGGGAAATGTTGAACCTAGAGAAGGGAAAACATATATATTGAATTTGAATATTCAGATTTCTTGTTTTTCTTGAATTTTGTTTTAAAAAAGACCTATCCATTTCTGTCAAATTGGGTTCAAGGTTGATGCTGTATTCTTCAATATGCTTGTGTTTTTCTTTCTCTTGTCTTCAACTACCAAAGTGGCACTCATTTCTTTTTTTTTTTTTTTAACCTTTGTTACCATTTTAACCATCTTTAAATGTATAGTTCAGTGGCATTAAGTACATTCACAGTATTGTTCAACCATCACCATCATCCATCTCTGGAACTACTTCATCTTCCCCAAAGTGAAACTTTGTACTCATTAAACGCTAACTGCCTTTTCCTTCCATTCTCCCCAGCCCTGGGAAACCACCATCCTACTTTCTGTTTCTATGAATTTGACTGCTCTAGGTACCTCACATAAGTGGAATCATACAATATTTATCCTTTTGTGACTGGCATATTTCACTTAGCACTATGTCTTCAAGGTTCATCCATGTTGTAGCATGTATCAGAATTTCCTTCCTCTTTAAGGTTGAATAATATTCCATTATGTGTATATACCAGATTTTTATTTATTCATTCATCTGGACATTTGGCTTTGAACATTTGGATTGTTTACAGCTTTTGGCTATTGTGAATAATGTTGCCATGAACATTGGTTTATAAATGTTTATTCAAGTCCCTGCTTTTATTTTTTTAATTTTTATTTCTTTATTATTTTTTAAGGGGGGAGGGGCAGAAGGAGAGAGAGAATCTTAAGTAGGCCCCCCGCCCAACGCGGAGCCCATATGGGGCTTGATCTCACAACTCTGAAATCATGACCTGAGCTGAAATCAAGAGTTGGCTGCTTAGCCGACTGAGCCACCCAGGTGCCCCTCAAGTCCCTGCTTTTAGTTCTTTGGGGTGCATACCCTGAAGTGGAATTTCTAAGTCATATGGTAATTTTATGTTTAAGTTTTTGAAGGAGACTTAATATATTTTATATTAAAATGGATCAGAAAATTTTTGTTATAATTGTACAATAAAAGGATCTATTATATTTAAATTCCATTTAAATTTATATTCTAAGACCTTGTGGGTCTGTAACTCAGGAGTCTTCTGTGCCCTGCCATATCCTGAGTGTTCTAGTGTTTTTTCTTAAAGTCCTAAACCAACTCTGCAGGAGGACTTTATCATCAGTATAAATTCAAATTGGAGAAGATTATATCGAAAGGTTGTGAACTTAGTGAATTTCCCCCCCTCTGATTAGACACAGCTGCCACTGTTGCTTAAACACAACCTTCTTTCTAAACGGCTGCTGGTTTTTCCTGAAACCCTACAAGTTTAGACCTGCCTAAGGAAGCCCTAAAGGCTTAATGGAAATACTATCCCCTACAGACGGGTTGAAATCTAGAAGAGTTTAAAAAGGAAATAGCCCTTCCTTAGATTGCATAATACTGAGAATCAAAACAGAAAGATCATATCTAGGGGGAGGAATTAAATGACCTGTGAAGGCCCCTATCATTCTATGACCTTAGACATACTCACCTCCTAACTAGCCTTAGTAATATTTGAAGAGAACAATTGATGATTAATTTTTTTTCATTTTTCCTGTAATTCTATTTTTCAGGGAGGAGGTAAATGACAAATTACGGGATATGCCAGATGGTACGTTCTTGGTCAGAGATGCCTCAACAAAAATGCAGGGGGATTACACTTTGACTTTGCGGTGAGTATTTTTCAGCATTTTGACTAGTGTTCTACTAGTGTTATTTATTTCTGGGTATACAGAGATTTTTGTATTTATTTAAATGATTACACATTTTAAAGTATTTTTACTTATTTAGATACACAATTTTTAGTTGTTTGGCTAACTGTCGTTTCTCCATACGTTAAATATTTAAATGTCTTACATAAAGATGGCAACAATTTTAATTTTTATGTAGGAATAAAATCCCCAAAAGTAAGTTATGAAGTAAGAATTATACTGTTGACCTTGTGCGAGAAGTAGAAGTCATGGGCACAGCCTGAGGTTATTAATGATATGTTGGGAATCCACCCCTCTAATAACCGTATTATTTTCCTCAATGGAGACTTCAGAGAGTAAAACTTAACATAGTTTAGGCTGATGAGGTTATGTAGAAGATAAAGCAATTCTTATCCTCTATCATGCCATCCATGTAGAATGGATGTAGAATCCATATTAGAATTTCCTAAGTGGTGGATGTATCACCTTTTATATTTACAAAGATGGGACCTATATTTTAAAAGATTAGGAAAACTGCATCAGATATTTTTACATTTAATTTTAACAATTAAAATAGTCTAATTGTAATAAAGTACAGTGATTTTTAAAAAAGGGACTATCTAAAGAAAAATATAATGAAAACAGTAGCGATAACAACTCCCTTGTACTACACATTTTATACACAATATCTTATTATTCCTCACAACAACCTTTGAGGTAGGTATTATTAATATTTGCATTTTATAGACGAGGCAGCCGAAGCTTAACCTGGTTAAGAAACTTTCCTAAAGACCTATAGCTAGTAAATGGCAGAGGATATGTTCAGATCCAGATTTATCTTTGTTCTGCCTTTCTGCCTACTATCTTTAGGAAAAATCATTTATTTTATGCTAGAAATTTGGAGTTTCTGGTAAAGACATTATAAGAAGTTAATACCTTGGAACTTGAGTTGTGTTGAGGAATAATCAAAGTTCTGTAATGATTCATTTGACTCAATTTTTTCCCCCTGCTCCGGTCAGGTTTCTGTCCTTACCACTCTTACAAGGACTGCTAAACCGATGACCACTTCTCTCTTCTTACCTCACCTGACCTCTTAGCAGCATTAGTCATAGGCACTTCTTCCTAGAAACATTTTATTGTCTTGGCTGTTGTGACATCACACTCTCCTGATTTTCTTCCTAACTCTAGGCCAGCCATTTCTTTGCTCAATATCTAAATGTTAAGTGTTCCAAGCTTGGAGTTGGGCCTCCTTCTCTTCTCTGTATTGGTTCTCCCAAGGTGAGCTTATCCTGTTCCACGGCTTTAATATGCAATTACATGCTGATGATCCATAAACCCCATCTCCAGCTCTGACCTCCAGAACTCTACATGCATATATCCACTTGCCTACTTGACTTTGCCACTTAGATAACTAGGGGACATATTAATTTGAACATGGTCAAAGAAGAATTCTTGATTTCTAACCCAACTCCTCCTACCCAAACTGTTTCTCTTCTATTTACTTTTTTTTTTTCAGAAATAGAACCACCATCTCTATAGTACTCACGTTACAGCTCTTTTTTCCCCCCTCTCTTTTTCCTCATCTTCACATCCAAATTCATCATTAAACAAGTCCTGCCAACTTTACCTCCAAATTTGTATTCGTAATCTCATCATGCTTCTCTCCCACCCAACAGTAAGCCACCATCTACTTGCTTGATCTTTTGCAGTCATTTCCTGACAGGCCTCTCAACATCTTACAATTTCTAACCTTCCCCACCCCTGTTGACCATTTTCTGCACAGAAACTAGAGTGATCATTTTAAGGTATGAGTCTGATTAGTCCTTTGCTTAAAATTGTTTTAAGAGTTTCCCTACTGCACTTAGGGTAAAGAAGTTGGATTTTATTCTAACTTACAAAACTCTATTTGACCTGGACTTGGTCTACTTCTTACATTCATTTCTTCCCTCTTCCCTCCTCCCACTACGTTCAACCTCACTAGCCTTTTAGTACCTCAGGCAAGTAAGCCTTATTCCAGTCCCAGGGCCTTTGCAATAGGCCTTTCTGATCTTTGAATCTTTGTTTCCTTTTTGTCATTCAGATCTCTGCATAATTGCCACCTCTTCAGGGCTTCCCCAACCACTCAGTCCAAAGTAGCTATCCGAGGATATATATTGCCTCAATTTAATTTTCTGTATGGGCTACTTCTATATCTTCTCCTTTCCCACCTTGTAGGTCTCACCCCACTAGAATTTAAGTTCTCTGCTATTGGGGACTTCGTTTAATCATTGTTACATTTCCAGACTCCAGTGTGTGGTAATGGATAGGCATTAGACAATGGATGCCTAATAAATATTTATTAACAGAATGAATGCCCTCATTTATCTGAAAAATGGTTTTGTGTGTTTTTTTTTCTTTTTAAAGATTTTATTTATTTATTTATTTAACAGAGAGAGACACAGCGAGAGAGGGAACACAAGCAGGGGGAGTGGGAGAGGGAGAAGCAGGCTTCCCACTGAGCAGGGAGCCCGATGTGGGACTCTATCCTGGGACTCTGGGATCATGACCTGAGCTGAAGGCAGACGCTTAACTGACTGAGCCACCCAGGTGCCCCTGAAAAATGGTTTTAATCCCACACTAAGGCATTATTTTATGATGGTTAGATTCCTGAATGCAACTAACTAAAAGCAACAGTTTTTGTATCTTGGGATGAGGAAAAGAGCCTGCAAAAGTTCCGTTACTTACCTGAAGTTGCAGCGCTGTTCAGGAACAAAGGCTGGCAAGGGGTCCCACTCACAGCCACCATGAGAATTCTTCTGCTAGAGACCTACAGCTGGAAGGGATCTTTAATACTACCTCATTCAGCTGGGTTTCTGCAGATGTTGGAATTCCCTGCATAACATTTTTCAGAGTCATTGAACTTCCATGTGATCTTTCAGTCAGCAGGAGCTAGCATCTTCCTTTTGAGGCAGCCCATTTTATTGTTGCAGCTTTAAAGTTTAGAGGGTTATCTTTGTGCTGGATATTATGGTAGGACCAGGAATAAGGACATGAATAAGATATGGTTTTACCCTCAAGAGTTCATAATCTCAGTGTGTAATGGTGGAATAGGAGAGATACATGTATACTATATCTTAATGCATTGTAGTGTTATATTAGCGTTCTCCCCATTCACCCCTTCCCCTAACTCTTGGTAACCATTGTTTTACTTTCTGACTTTGTGAATTTGATTATTTTAAGTACCTCATATAAGTAGAATCATACAATATTTAACCTTTTGTGTCTGGCTTATTTTATATAAAGTAATGTTTTTAAGGTTCATCCGTGTTGTAGCATGTCAGACTTTTCTTCCTTTTTAAGGCTGAATAGTATTCTATTGCATATGTATACATTTTGTTTATCCATTGGTCAATGGACATTGGCAAGAATATTTTAAAGTTTTTGTGCATCTAGCAAAAGGTCTGACATGTAGGTACTCAGTAACTATTTGAAAGGAAAGAATAAATGAGAGAAAGACAAAGAAAAGTTTTCTCAGAGGGAATGGCAGTTTAGCTGGGCCTTGATAGATTTTGTTAGGCAGAAAAGTGATGATCTTACTAGGGTTTAGTAAATACTCATAGCTCAGTACTAGTTACTCTGCAGAGGATCTGACAAAGAGTTAACATTTTTGTCTCAAAGTAGCCATAGTCTGGTGAAGGCAACAGGAATAAGAAAACTGCCTTGAATTAAACTAAAATAATAGAAGTTCAAACAGTGTGCTTTGGGGGCTGAAAGGAAGGAAAGAGATAGCTTGTTGAGAGGATATAGAAAGCTGCCCTTCATGGGGGTGCCTGGGTGGCTCAGTTGGTTAAGCGACTGCCTTCGGCTCAGGTCATGATCCTGGAGTCCCGGGATCGAGTCCCACATCGGACTTCCTGCTCAGCGGGGAGTCTGCTTCTCCCTCTGACCCTCTTCCCTCTCGTGCTTTCTATCTCTCATTCTCTCTCTCTCTCAAATAAATAAATAAATAAATCTTAAAAAAAAAAAAAAGAAAGCTGCCCTTCATGGAAAAAATTGCATTGCCATGTATTTGGGAGAAGGGGATAGGTTTGGCCGTGTAGAAAGAGGGAGAGGAGATTGCAGGATTAGGTAACAATAGGAACAGAGATATGGAGGTGAGAAACCATAGTTCCCTGTTCTCTGAGTGGCAGTCCCATTTGGCTAGAGGGTCAAGTCCACAAGAGGAACAGGTGATAACGGATGGAGGGTTGGAAAAGGGTCATGTTAAGGAGGGCCTTGAATTCTAAAATGTCGAGTTTGCATTTAATATTATAGGTAGGCAGAGGAAACCATTGCATTTTTTCAGCAGGGAAGCATATGATCAGACTCTATTTGAATAGAAAGAATAAAAGAGGATAGATGCTAGTAAAAGGTTAGAATATCATGAATCATTGGGGTGCTTGGCTGGCTCAGTGGGTAGAGCATGCTACTCTTGATCTCAGGGTCATGAGTCAAGCCGTGCTTTGGGCAGAGAGCTTACTTAAAAAAAGAAAATTTAAAAACATAGAATATTATGAATTGAGAGGTAATGGTGATCCAGAATAGAATTTATTCTTTAATCATTTAATATTTATGGAGTGCCCACAATGTTCTAGGTACTATTCTAGGAAAAGGAAATGATGAACAAACTGAACATGGTCTCCTGTCTATACTGTTTACATTTGGAGGTGGAGATAGGAGTAGAGGAGAGGGAGACACAATAAATACGTAAAAAATAACTTCACAGTATATGAAATGCTATATAGGAAATATACCTGGTTATGTGATAGGGATATAGGGAAAGGGAATTTAAGATAATTTTGAGAAGGAGGTCCTCTGTGAGGAAATGACCTCTGAAAACTGAAGGATATATAAGAACCAGCCAGAAAAGTGTTCCAGGAAGAGGGAACGGAAAATGCCAACACACTGATTTTGGAAGGATTTGGTGGATCCAGTGAATACGAAGACTGCTGTGGCTGGCTTAT